ATAGTTAACGTGAAAAACTGGGATTTATTTGTTATCTATTTTGCATAATTTCCGTCGTTAATCTATCATAATTATACCTGCTGGAATCCAATAGATTAACATCTAATGTCACGCTTAAATTATAAATAAACGTTCAAAGAAGTTTGAAAATTTTACGAGAAAACGTGACTTTGTTTTATTACAGAAAATATTCTATTTCTTAGATTAATATGAGTGACACACTGTAAACCCCCGAAGGACAACGAGGTGCATAGAAACTCGTGTATTAGTGCGAATCGTTTTAAAACAAATTGAATCGATTCATAATAGAATTATGTAACAATTAGAATGACGGATTCGTTGTGGATTAACTATTCTATACAGACAGACTTTAAAAACGCAACACTAGATTATTCTTTTAATTCCTATTTTCAAATATGCAATTCTTGTAAAATAAATGTATAAACATAAATTTCATGCATTACTTCATGGTCTGGTTTTCCCCTATCGATAGATGTGTCACCATCAAAGGCAATGACTGCCTGTAACCAACGCCTAAATGATTGAGAGAAAAGTCAACCAGTTCTGTTTGGCATGTTTTGGGTATTGTTTTGTCCTTTCAGATTTGTCCTTTGTCCCACCCATAACAGTGTGTTTTGGCATAAATGCGGTTTAACCTTTAGGGCTTAAAGAGTTTTTTATGCAGTCGATTCTTTGGCATTTCGGTATATGGGAAACACTTATGGCGTGAATCTGTTTACCATGGCATTCGACGACTTGATTAGCAGTTGACGTTACGGCCGTAAACCTGTCTCGAAAATGACGTTGCGTAATCTATTGACGTTGTGATGTCACAGCCTATTGATCTGGTCATGGGTATACTGACTAAGGTATAGTCATCAACAAGTCCCGTCTGCCTGTACCACTGTTGTTAGGACAGTAAGAGGAGTTTCTGACATGAAATTGTCTAGCAGCGCACGTTCTAGTATCCCTGCCTGTAATATTCTTATGCTTTGATTCAGATTTTTATTGCTCAGTCTCGGAAATATGGAAATGCAACCGTTTTTTAACTGATTTAAGTGTTGGTATTGATTGAAAGAATTTTTTAACGAAGAAAAAAGCCTTTAAAAATCATTTATTAGTTTCAAATATTGCTTGAAGTATTCGTGCGACTTCAAAGATCCGGTACGTTAAATTACATCAGGTAAGTCAGGTATTGATTTTTTTTTCTAAACAGAAAGAAGTATAGTAAGCATAGTAGATACATGAGGATCAATCATGATTTGGTTAGAAAAAATCTCCAAAATGTGTGTTGCGTTTTTTATGTCCTTCAGTTTAGCGAAATAGGATTAACAAACGAGTGAAGAAGACTAATCTTCCAGAGCACTGTTTAAGATTTAGAAAATTTCGAAACAAGACCGGAAATCTAATTCGAAAACAAATACAAGTCTATATTGACGGTCTATCTGAGAAATTATGTTCTGTTCGACACTTCGTGTATAAGAAGTGGGTGGATAATAGCATCAAATATAGCTGGATTTAAGTCCAGATGTTCTGATACCCCACCTCCCTCCTACCATTTCTCGATAACAACGATTTTATATATAATGACATTGATAAAGCTGAAACTTTAATGTTTTGGGGGTTTTCTTGCGTCACAGTTAAACATTTTTGATGTCTGTTCGTACTGACGATACTCCTCCCGCCACGTGTCTTGACAATACAATTCTTCAGGAACAGAAGTGAAAGACATTTTACAAATAACCAAAGTTAATAAAGCATCTGGTCCTGATGGAATTTGTCCAAGGCTATTGAAAATTGCCTCATATATTTTAACAAAAACTTTGTGCTATATATAAAATCGAAAGAAATTCTATCGGCAGTTATAGACCATACTTTATTGTTGAGTGATTTAAGTAAAACCTTTGAAAGATGTGTATATAAAGATATTAGAAACTTTGTAAGAGATCTCTTGTTGGGAATTCCGTCGGAAATTAAAAGACTCAACTCGTAACCAGCTATTATACTTGACTAATGTTTTTAGTGAGTCCATAGATAGGGAAAATATATTAGAGTTCCCTTCTTTGATATAAGAAGCCTTCGACTACGTTTGGCATAAAGGATACATGCACTATTGAAACTAAAAAGATGGGTATTTTTTGGAATCTTCTTCTTTGGCTCAAACGTGGTTATACATAGGCAAGTGTCCTCATTGGCAGATATTAACTCCACAGGATTATATTTTGGGTCCATTGTTATTTTTAGTTTTTATTAATGATATTGTAAATGAGGTAAATTGTCATATTAAGCTATTTGCTGATGACACTAACATTTACATGCATGCAGTTGTCAAAAATCCCTTTGTTGCTTCCGTTACTCTAATTATGCATCGAATTCATATATGGGCAGATAAATGGTTAGTGAAATGTAACCCGAGGAAAATTGAATCAATGATAATATCTAGAAAAAAGACCCTGAACATTCATCATTAATTATGGACAGTAATATAATAAAACACCTTGTATTCAATTGTTCGGTGACGGCAGCTGGACAATACAAATAGATGGCTTCAGAGCAAAAGCATCTGTTCGCCTGAATATGTTATGAAGGCTCAAGTTCAAAGCGGACAGGAAAACGTTTGAAGTCATATATTTTTCATATTTTAGGCCTATTTTAGAGTATGCCGATATCATCTGAATTAATTTTCCAGAATAGTTGAAGAATCTACTGAAACATATTAATTATGAGGCAGCACGTATAGTAACTGGGGCTACTAAGTTAACAAGTCTACAAGTTCTTCTTAAAGAGAAACGGTGGGAAACTCTCAGGGAAAGGCGAAAAAACATACAATATAAAAAAGAAGATGTGGTATGATTGCCAATGAGACAACTCTCCACAAGAGACCAAATAACACAAAAATTAACAACTATTAACTATAGGTCACCGTACGGCCTTCAACAATGAGCAAAGCCCATACCGCACAGTCAGCTATAAAAGGCTTATTTCATTTCATTAGATGTCCAGTCTTTCTTTCAAATTTATTCCCTACCAACTTTGGCCAAACCTATCTGTATGGGACCCGCCGTAACGCAGGAAACTTGCCTTATATACCTGCAGGAACGAATTGTTAGAATACCAGTTTTTTTTCATTCTATTGTCCGTCTTTGGGATGAGCTTCCGAGTCAAATTAGAAATTCTACCTTATATATTTTTAAGAAATTCTTATAGAAACCTCATGTAGTCCCTAAATATGTTTACGGTGATAGCAGACTGGAACAAATTTAGATACTAGATACAGAACTGAGAGCAGTGGTCTGAATGAACATTTGTATTGAAAAAAATAGCTACTGATCCTTTCTGTAAATATAGAAAGATTGAAACATCTGAACACTTTTCATTGCGTTGTCCGCTATACCATTTACTAAGAGAGTTTATGCCGACTTAATTGTCATTTCAGCCTAATGTGCATAACTTACTGTATGGTAATGATATCCGACATTGAAAATACTGATAACTTTCTTATTATACAAGATTTTACTCTCAAAACAAAGAGATTCGTGTGAATTTCATATACATGTTTGTGAATGCATTGAGTTATTTATAATTATGTATAAATAAATTGTTGTATGATATTATAACCAATTTTAGTACCAAAACTGAAACAAAATCCTTTTTGGAACTACATGCAGAAACAAATTCAGAGGATAGATTTTTTTTAAAATTGGCCAATCGAAACCTATGATCGCCTCTATAGCAGTCATATCTTTCAAGAACCATTACCGAAATGAGGATTATTTATACAGGTGTTTAAAAACATTATACCTGCAACGTTTCGTAAAAATTGGCCAAGTGGTTTCAGAGAAGATGAAGAAAATCTGATATTGCATATAAATGTACCACCAAATGCCGTCACGTTTGTTGTTTCAGAATAAAAGACTTTTAAAATTGAAAAATCAGATTAAACAATTGCACCTGGTCATTATGTTTATTTTTCAGCCGATCGTAACGAAATGAAGAACTTAAGAAAAAATACCTTCTATCGTGTTTTGTGCATGAGAAGTTTGGTTTAGAGATTATGAAAATGTAAATTGTCTAACGACGGACGAAAGACACAGAGTGAAGACAAGAGCACAGTTGTTCATATTTTTCTCCATTTTATTCGAATTTCCATTGTTTAGTAGAAGTGATAGCTTTCTGTAATGTCAAATTACTATTTTTTCATGATCAGTAGGAACCACATTAAATATATTAAGACTTATATATGATGACAACAACATATTGTACAATCATTCAAACAAGTTGGTACCACAATGTGGGTAGACCACGATACATGGTGGGAAAGTTGCACTGTCTCTTGATAAAAGAGAGAAAGTTGGATAGCGATATGTCATAAAAAGTACAGGACGACACGAGCGTGTGTAAAGCCAAGACAAAGACGAACAAAATTTATATACAAACAAATAAAAAAATGAAAAATCATAGTTTCCCTTTTAAGAAGTATTTTTTTTGTAAGTTCGTGACGTCGAAAGCAAAACATTATAAATATTATAATAGTTACACAATTTTGTAATTCAACTTATTTTTCGATAACAAAAATTATTTCTTTTGCTTTAATGTTTTCAATTTCAGTCTGAAGTTAATATTAACTGCTTTAAAACATTCACGTTTTTTAAAGGTTAGCCAGTTTAATATATGGACTTTAAGCTTAGATTTTTTGTGCATACTACGAGTACTTCCCTTTATATTTTTTAAAGTATTGATTTAACCTCTAAGTTTACATGTCCTTGAAAAGTAAACAGAATATAAGGTTTCTCCCATTGTACGTGTTTCTTTGCAGGGGAACTAAATTATCAGGGGCGTGTTTGCGACAATTTGTTGCTATTTTCGGATTTATGATTGCTACCTTCAGTGACAAATAAAGGAGGAAATTTGGGACATAAGGTTAAATGTCCAAAGAAAGATAACTATATGTTACTAAAGTTTCATTTTTTCAATTGTAGTAAGTGTAAACAATCATGATATATATTTAATCTTTATTTTTATTTCTGTACAAATATATATTTATCATAAAATTGGTTTCAATTTATTATTTTTTTTAAATCATATTCAATTAAACACTGTCCTGATACCTGTAAATAAGGACCTTACAAACTTCCACTTATATAAATATTCATTATTGCTTGATACATTTATAATAATAATTCAGAAATTAACAAATATGTTTTCTTAAAATTCATAAAGCGTTAAAATAATGCTATTTCTCCAAAGACTTTGGGAATTTTGCTCCTGTGTGGATATCAAAAGCAGTGTCGGTCTTCCATTACTATTAATAATAAGAATGGAAATAATAAATCAAATATCCCAATCAAAAGACTGTTATTTGGAAGAATCCTGTATGTTTGGTATATATAGTCAGTCGTGTTAAGAATGTGGAATGTTAGCAGCACCAACCATATCTCAGCGCACATGTACTATAAGCTGGTGAATTCACAGAAACTTTCTTTTTCTCTGATCCCCATTCTGGATTCACAACAAAGTCTCTTTCTGACACAAACTTTTTGTTCTTGTAGAACATGGGTTTCGGGGAATATAAATATTGGTCTCTATCATCCCATTCAGCAGGAGGAGCTTTCCAGTCCATTGCTATTGCAAACGATGGTCTTTTAGGCACAATTCTGCAACAACAAATAACTAATTTTAGAACATATAGAGATTATAAAATTGAGAATGGAAATGGGGAATGTGTCAAAGAGACAACAACCCGACCAAAGAGCAAAAAACAGCCGAAGGCCACCAATGGGTCTTCAATACAGCGAGAAAATCCCGCACCCGGAGACGGGCTTCAGCTGGCCCCTAAACAAAAATGTGTACTAGTTCAATGAAAATGGACGTCACACTAAACTCCAAAAACATATAAATGAACCAAAATTAAAAAACATACAAGACTAACAAAGGCCAGAGGCTCCTGACTTGGAACAGGCGCAAAAATGCGGACCCTCCCCCTATACCTCTAGCCAATGTAGAATAAACAAACACACAGCAATACGCACAGTAAAACTCAGTTTGAAAGAAGCCCTTGTCCGATGTCAGAATAGGTAACAAAAGAAAATAAGCAAAAATGACAATGATACATACATTAACAAAGGACTACTAGCAGTTATTGACATGCTAGCTCCAGACCTCAATTAAACTGATTGAAAGATTATGTCTTCATCATATGAAAATCAAGCACAATCCCTCCCGTCAGGGGATTAGTATCATACCATCATAAAATATATGAGAAGAACATAACCCGTATCATGCCAACAACTGGTTTTAGAATTAATGTGTTTATTTCCGATGCAAAGACCCCATGAGTGAATCAATATTAATACCAAAATATGCCATCTCTAATAACCTGACAACATTATCGTAACTATATCCCTTCTGAATAAGTCTGTTTAAAGGTTTGGTAAGCTTTTGATGTGACTGTCGACAATTTTGTGCTTTGTATAGAATATTACCATAAAAGATTGGATGTGAGATAACTGAACGTATAAGATATCTGCATGTTGATTTATATTTACGAATGATGTCCTTGTACTGATGATAAAATTTAGTAAATGTTTTGACTAGTTTGTGATATCGAAAACCCTGATGTAATAATTTTTCAGTAATACAGAGATTTCTCTCATTAAAATCAAATACGTTGTTACATACACGAGCGAATCTAACAAGTTGAGATATATAAACACCATAAGATGGTAACAGGGGAACGTAAAAATGGATAATTAACAATAGGAAATGAAAAATCATCTCTTTTGTCATAAATTTTGGTATTAAGCTTCCCGTTAAAGATATAGATATCAAGATCCAGGAAAGGGCAGTATTCATTGTTAGTATTGGCGTTATTCAAAGTCAGTTCAGCAGGATAAATCTCTTTAGTGTACATACTGAAGTCGTCATTATTGAGAGCGAGAGCCAATATATCATCCAAATATCTAAAAGTGTTATTAAATTTTTGTATTAGATGTTGTTTCGATGGATCTTTGCTAATTTTTTCATAAACTGTAACTTATAACAATACAGAAACAGGTCCGCAATAAGTGGTGCACAGTTAGTCCCCATTGGAATTCTGATAACTTGACAAAAGTTATCTAGTCAAAATTCAAGGGCAGTTATCGTATCAAAGCAGGTCCAATTGACATAGTTCTTTTGTCTTTTGTTACTAAAAAATGACTTAAAAGAGTTAGAATATATATATATTCGCATTCTCAATTTTTAAATGCCATTATAACTACTTTTAATGTCATGTCAGCTGTGGAAAAAACATTTTTCAAATTCAAAATACTTATAAAAATCAATAATATAATATATATATTATTTGATGAAATAGAAATATATTGGTGTTTCCAAAGTCCATGTTTGGTGCATGCATCACCCGTCACATATTTATAAAGTAATATATCGGATATTAAGTGTAGAAAGAAACCAGCAACGTTACAAACCGCTTATATATATGGGGGGCGGGGGGGGGGGGGGGGTCATATATAGGGGGTGAGGCCGAAGGCCGAATCTCCTTTGGATTTTATTCACCCTCTATGGTCCGTAGGTCGTCAGTAGTGAACTGTATGGCGAATTTATCGCACGCGGGACTTTTTCTGCTGCGTTTTGTAGAAAAATAAACAATGAAACACAACAACATTAATAGATGACGTCACCATTAGCAGTAGACGTGACGTCATGAACCCCCTATGAAATTTACTAACCCCTACGGATCCATAGGGGGTCACCACGTGACGGCATTAAACCAATCACAACGTGATAATTTACCCGCGGTGCGATAAAATATAATGTACATTTAGTATAAACATAATGATTCAGCCATCCAAATAGGCTAATGATGCACTATCATGTTTTAACTTTATATATAATTAAGGAATAATCTAATAACTCCAAATATTGAGGTTCGAAGATTATTCACAAAATTCAGACTAAGTGATCATACACTAGTAATTGATATTGTTAGATATAGAAATTGACAAGAGAAGAGTATGTGTTAGTTGTATAAGTTGTAAAAATGAAATTGATGATGAATGTCATTTCTTTCTGTTCTGACACTGAGGTAGTGAGTTCGAATCCCGCACGTGGCAGGTGCACTCGAATCCGATCTAAATTGACTAGGATTGTCAGTTTTCCTTCTAACGGTCGGTGGTTCTCTCCGGGCACTCCTGCTTCCTCCACCAACAAAAACTGACCGCCCCGAAATAGCACAATTATGCTGAAAGTGGTGTTAAACATCAATCAATCAATCAATTTTTCTGTTCTGTGATTTCACTATGAATATTTGTGAAAAATAATTAAATATTCTATACTGTAGGTATATATATACAATATAGGTATCGGTAATATACGTTCAGGCAATGTTGACCGTAGATGGATTTGGCTATCATTTTTAGGTCCTTTTGGTCATATCGCTCTTCAACTGTTTCGGTTCTTATGCCATCTTAGCTTTCAAATATTCGGGTATGAGTTTTCCTGAACAGGGTTTAAGTCCAGAAAAGCGCTTCTGACTCTTAACGTTTATAAAGTGTTGTTTCCATTATTTACGACACTTCACAATTTTTGCAACCGATATTATGATCTTCACATAGTTTCAATGTCTGAATTAACAGGCAAGCATATTTAAAACCAAAGAGATGTGGTGTGATACTCTTGTCAGAAATTTAATTTCTCACATGTACATAACAGTACCCTCGAAATTATTACTTATAAAATTAATTCAGGGTCGCATGACCGTCACCGGTGATGCATAGACATTTACCCTTTCGACCCTTTGTCTCATTGTACATGCAGGTATTTCGATTTTAACTACGGATATTTTCATGCCCATGTTTGTTTATAGCTGGACAAGATATTCGAACTGACATGAGTATACTACCATCATATTACTTATTAAAATAAGATATCCTGAGGACAACCTCTTCAACGTGTGTCTAAAATATTTGTGAAGCTTTAAATCATCATGAGTGTAGGTAAGCTGTAAGAAAAATTAACAAACCCTTCAAAGATCAACATACAATTCTCTAATACACAATGACATCCATTATATTTTGTGCTTCGTACCGATCTGATGAGTCAAGTCCTTTCCATCGATTTTACAGTTTGTTCTTATAACGTGCTGTTACACCACTATCCCGGGTAAGGGGAGACTCGATGATTCACATACATGTTTAACCCCGACACATTCTGTATGTGCCTGTCCTCAGTCCAGAGCCTGTAATTTGGTGGTTATTGTTCGTTGCTGTCTGTCATATTTGTTTTGATTTATTGTTGTAAGCATAAATTAAGCCGTTGGTTTTCTCTTTTGAATTGTTTCACATTTTGTCATACCCGGACCTTTTATAGCATTCTATATGGTATAGGTTTTATTCAGTTGTTGAAGATATTTCGTTACCTATAGTTTACATCCTCGTCATGTGGCTCTGAGGATAGTTGTCTCACTGGCAATCATATACCACATCTCCTTAATTATCTTAATTTAAACTTCATATTTAGTGGAAGACCATAATGCAATGCAACATCTTCTGCCAATCATGTTTATTTTTATTGATGTATTTGATTTTGCACTTATCATATACTCACTTAACCACTTGGTTCTTCCATTCTTGAATGCTTCTAGTTTTAAATTCTTCATTTTCGTCAACACGGTCAAAGAGTTGTGGAATTGGACGATTTTTCAATACAAGTGCGTTGAAATCTGGAGTCTTTAATCTGTCTGATAATCTTGCCTGGTAAGGTTTAATGTCTACGGGACTTTTTGATCTCCGTTTAAGTAACTGATATCGTCCACTTTTTGATCTGTCTGTTAACGGTGAATGGAAGGCTGGTTCTGATTGTGTTATAATGGGCAAGGTGTTTGCTCTTGAATAAGATGGCAAGCGTTCTCTCTTCCAGTCGCCTTGAATTTCATCTTGTGCTTTGAAAACATATGTATACATAAATTAACTGTTTGAAATAACAAGTACATAGATTTGGTTTTATTTCCATAATATTCCTTTAAAATAAAAGTTGATTATTTACGAAAATAGATATAAAGTAGTATAACGAAGAGACATATCATTAATTTAAGAACATGTATAACTGCATTAAATAAGAATAACAATAAATCACCTATCACAATACAAATCTAAACAGTAACATCTTTAGGAACAGACATTGCATCATGTTTATTTTGAAGACTAGTGCTCGACTGACAGAGTTCTTGCTACCGACCTCAATCAGCAACCTAAGAAAACGGAAAGCTTTGTGACTGCACCTTATCACTTTTTAATCATACTATTCTAATCCAATAGGATCATACATCACGAAATCATATTTATTCTTCACACTACCATATAACTAGAAGATACCTAACCAACAATGTTAAAAATGTGAATAAAAAAAACAAAAATCCAATGAACAAAAGACATACGAGACGAATAAAAAGTGTCAAGCCAGATACACGAACAAACAAGCATCTAAATTACGAACTCTCATTAAATCCGAAATAATATCAAATACTCTGGATGGGTATTCATATATAACTTTGAATGTAGCAATCTGACGAATCTGTTAGGGTAAAAACTGTATGAGACCATATAATATCTACGGTCATTTATAACACACCTTATCACGATCTATTAATGTATAACTCATTTAAAAAGTTTTAAACTACGGTTGCACCTCCCTCGATCAAAGTTGAAATTGGACTGCTGTGGTGGTTAAGTTTTTGACCTTTTGGTTTAGATGCTCCAAAACATTTTATTTGTTCGGTGTCCCAAAAATTTAGTTTAAAGTCTGTCTGTTGGCGGTTGTTCCATGCAGGAACACATGTCACGTGCTCTTAAATCGGTATCAAATATTGGTTTTTCGTTTGGTTTTTTAATTGTTTTTTTTTTCATGAGCGCCGCTCATTGGAAAATTGATAATATGTTATTATCCTAATTAAATCAGTCAAACATGATAAGTTTAAAAATAGATTGGTTGATTGATTGTTGGTTGCTTGGGGTCCAGTAGCAAATATTTAATGTATGTTCAGGACGATGAAAAAAAATAGAAAAAAAAGAAAAATGCAATCATCCTCATACCTTTACGTCGTTGTTGTAAATGTAATAAGTCAGGATGAATTTTAGATGGCGACCTCGGTAACATGTCTAATGTGCTAGGGGTCCTCAGTGGTGTCTGAAAATAGTACAAAATCATGAATAGAAATATGTTTACATCATATTAGATATTGCTGTTCATTATGATTAAACTTGTATAAGAACATGATTAAGCCCAGATATGTTGGGCTGCGATGCTCAAGATAAAGAAAAAGTATTATGCAAATAAAGATAGAGTATTTGAAACATTTATTACGTGTAAAATTGGGAATTGTAAAAAGCGTACTGGAAGTGGTTGCGTACATTACAACGACCAAGCGCCTGTATATAAATTAAAGTATAGTTGTTCGGGTACACAGCTTCATTATCATACCGAACATGTCTACATATGTGTACTTTCAAAACATCCATGCGCCAACTCATTGAAAGTGCACAAGTACTAGATCGTAATCATGACAGACGGGGCTGCGTATTTATCATTTGAATCAGAAATAGCCAAACGTTTTCTTGATAATTTTTTTTTGTAAGAAGATTGATTGGTCGCAACAAATAACAAATAAGAGAACAAATAAGCAATAATTCAAAAGCTAGGTTCTGTTTAGTTGGTCGACCATGATGAAGGGTGGGAAATAAAGATTGTCACTGGGAAAAGAGGGCTTTAATTTTGCCTTGCAAAAGGTCATTTATGCACCCCAAAAGAACTGTTGCGGAGGTACTATAACGTACAAAGGGCGTGACACTCTCCTTACATGATGCATCGGATTTAAAGTCCATTCTTTGACCGAAGGGTACGACAGTTGTTATCCATTCGTTTGACGTGTTTGAGATTACGATTTTGCCATTGATTAGGGACTTTCCGTTTTGAATTTTCCTCGGAATTCGGTATTTTTGTGATTTTACTTTTTACAACTAATCCAACGTCTATCTTTATCAGGAGTTTTACTGCAGGACAGAAAATCCAGGTGACCATATTTCTATACCCTATTCAACTCTTGGGGTAAGTGGATGTATTGGTATTTAACGGATAATGGCTACTATTAGTCATATCAGGACGATAACATGTTGATGAGACATGACTATGGAACATTGCTTTGTGCAAGACCGACACTCTGAGTCGAATTTTAACGTGCAGTTTATAAGGTAACGGTAAAAGTAAACAGAAAGATATGTCGACGAACCAGCACACATTATTCTGACTCCGACCCAGCAGTCTTTACTCTTACTCTCAAATACCACGTGTTTTACTCTTACTCCTAAATGCCACGTGCCTTATATACAATTTTCAAGACTTTACTTTGACATGGCTGGGGATATTATAGATGTGTAGTTTTACAGACACACACCATTATACAGAATAAATAAATGATTTGTCGCGGACACAGAATATTTTTCAAATTATCAAATAACTGTTGAAATTGGGAAAATCAATAATTTTAAAGTTGATGTCATCTCGTGATGATGTCCAGTGCTTTCGAAATCACTGTGTAAGTCTCAACTGATATCAATTAGTAAAGAGTTTCTGTGGTTTCTTTATTCTCCAACTGGTGAATAAAATGATGAAATATTTGAATTTCTTATCCTCGATTAATTACTGAATAAATTGTGATATATAAGATTACAAATTTATAGCAGGTAGCCAAAAGATGGGCACAGTAAGTTCGCATAGGAAAGGAAGTTGCTTGTTGAAAATACGAGCATATTACTCCTGTTCTTTGGTTAAGTAATTTTTTTCTTTACAAAGTTACTTCAATTTTTGACTGGGAAATATAAATATGGACCCAAAAATTCTCCCAACCGGCAGCATTACCAAAGCTAACGAGATGTATTTGTTTGGTAACTTCAGACATATCAAACGTCCTCCATTGGCATGTTAGACAACTTCAGACATATCAAATGTCCTCCAGTGACATGTTAGACAACTTCAGACATATCAAACGTCCTCCATCGACATGTTAGCATCTTCAGAGTGAGACATAGCAAACGTCCTCCATCGACATGTTAGACAACTCCAGACATATCAAACGTCCTCCACCGACATGTGAGACAACTTCAGACATATCAAACGTCATCCATCGACATGTTAGACAACTTCAGACATATCAAGCATCCTCCATTGACATGTTAGACAACTTCAGACATATCAAACGTCCTCCATCGACATGTTAGACAACTCCAGACATATCAAACTTCCTCCATTGACATGTTAGACAACTTCAGACATATCAAACGTCCTCCATCGAAATGTTAGACAACTCCAGACATATCAAACTTCCTCCATTGACATGTTAGACACATACATATCAAACGTACCCCCACTGTCATGTTACACAACTTAAGACATATCAAACGTCCTCCATCGACATGTTAGACAACTTCAGACATATCAAACGTCCTCCTACTTCTTAGGCAGTTCAAAGCAACTCCAGAAAACTAACAAATACCTTTTGATTCCTAATTTGAAGTATGTAATTCTTTTTTTAGAGGTGGGGGGAGGGGGTTAAAATTAAATAGTAATCTACGGATAACCGGAATTGTTATATATCTCAAAAACAACAACCATGTTGATGATTAAATTATACAGGAGTACTTCACCATGAACTTCCATGGAGAAAAGCTTGGAAAATCAAGAAGCAACAACATTGGGACAGACAAACTTAAAAGTCTTATGTGATATGAACAGTCTAGGCCATCTAAGGAAGTGTTTTAAACAAACAAAAAAATATAGGTTTATAGGTCAATAATCGATCAAATTGTATAAACAAAATTTAGGGCCGTAATACCAAATATTTGGGAGTTATATCCCCGAGAGGACGAACAATCCACCTACACTGATTACCACTGCATCAGTAAAACACACTGATTACCACTTCATCAGTAAAACACACTGATTACCACTGCATCAGTAAAACACACTGCTATCCACTGCATCAGTAAAGCACACTGTTATCCACTGCATCAGTAACACCCACTGCTATCCACCTACACTGATTACCACTGCATCAGTAAAACACACTGATATCCACTGCATCAGTAAAACACACTGCTATCCACTGCATCAGTAAAACATACTGTTATCCACTGCATCAGTAAACCACACTGCTATCCACCTACACTGATTACCACTGCATCAGTAAAACACACTGTTATCCACTGCATCAGTAAAACACACTGCTATCCACATACACTGATTACCACTGCATCAGTAAAACACACTGTCATCCACTGCATCAGTAAAACACACTGCTATCCACTGCATCAGTAAAACTCACTGCTAGCCACTGCATCAGTAAAACACACTGCTACCAACTGCTTCAGTAAAACACACTGTTACCCACTGCATCAGTAAAACAACGAAATAACTCATTACACCCGTCCTTTTTTTTTCGAAAGAAAGGATTCTCGAGGAACTTGAGATAATTTTAACCTTCCAACGATTTCAAAAACTTTTGGCACCAAGTGTTTAACTGATGAAGGATTTCTTGAAAACACCTTGCATAACCAGTTCTAAAATATACTTGTACTTTAAATTGAGAACATAACAAAACATTATTTCTATGTCATATTTCATTGCAGGGTATAGATATTATTCTGTTGATCTAATTTATGGTTATTTTTGTGATGAGAAGGGATATTATATGTACTTAGTTGGGCGTTACGGAATAGAAAATGATTATGATATTGTTAAATACAAAATCCATCGTTAAATAACGCCAAGGTTTGGAATTTCAATCATCCCAAAAACGATTATTTCTGATTATGTCTTTATATCATTGAACAAAGACACAACAAACCCTCAGTATAGGAATGAAAACCATTTGTAATAATCAGCGACATCAACTCGCCCATGGTACTAAAGATACATTGCAACAACTTTAGCATGTATTGTTAATTTTATTCTCGACCTGAATATATTTGATATACTAGTATCTTACTCTTGACTTCAAACAAGTAACTATATCAATCGATCAACAAGACAGTGTCAGTTGTTACTGAGTCTGGTAATGTATAACATTGGGGACTGACAATTGTTGACTCCATGTAAGATGTAAGATGGTACCTTCGGGGATTGGCAGTTGTTGACTGCAGGGCAAATGTTAATCATGGGAACTAAACATTGTTGACTATGGCTAGATGGTGCCCTCTGGAACTGACAGTTGTTGGTTACTTGGTTGATAGTACATTCGGGGACTGACAGTTGTTGATTTCTGAACAGATTTTGTCCTTTGAAAATAGCCGTTGTTGACAACTGGTTAGATGGTGCATCTAACGGAGACAGACCAATGTTGTTTACTGGCTACCTCCATGGCTAACACTCGTTGACTACAATGTATATGGTACCCTCGGTTGACTGACCATTGTTGTTTACTGAAATACCCTCACGGCTAACACTTTTTGACTACAATGTACATGTATATCACAATATGGTACACTCGGGGGACTGACCATTGTTGTTTACTAAAATACATTCACGGCTAACATTTGTTGACTACAAAGTATATGGTACCCTCGGCGACTGACAGTACATGGTTTCATTGAGGACTGTCTATTTTGGAACAATGGGTTAATGGTTCACTTTGAAACTGAAAATGTTTGACAACTTGGAAGCTGTACACTAATTAAGATTCTTACCATTGTAGCCTACTGAGTAGATGATACCCTAGGGGATCAATAAAATTATTGATAACTAGATAGATGATACCCTCGGGACACACAATTATAAATGAAGACATTTGAGATCAATGTTTAAGGAAAAAGATAGGTATCCGATATGAAACTTTCAGATTAAAAGTAATGTATGTCACACTTTAGTAGTATTCCATGGTGTATTCCACAAATTAGAGTTGACGTTGAAAACCAAATATTCTATTTTTCTAAAAAAAATAAAACTTACAACAAAATATATAAATATTAAAAATATGTTTGAATTAAAAGATCGACAAACCTGCATATCCATCGCTTAATCCTTAGATATAATATTAAATGTTTAAACTTTCCTTATGTGGGGGTAACACAGTCATTATTAGTATTAAATATTTCACTTAGGATATCAATATACACTAATAAACTCCTTAAGAGGTCTAGAAAGGGGAATTCATGGTTCTTGGTTTTCAATTAAAGCACTTTGTGTCGAGTATAATTATATTTAATTGAGAAGAATTTTTTTTAAATGTCATAATTTCTTTAATACATGTACATGTAAAATAAATGTGTTGAAGTACTTTGTGCATGGTCATGGCATTATGATTTAATCTAATTAAATTCCTTTGTATGCCTCATTGTTAATTTAACAATGGACAATTATTATAGAATTATTAAATACTATTTTTCAGTGTATGTAATAAGAATAAAACCATCGTTGACACATTTTGATATGTAACAGTAATGTTAAACAGTCATATTTTGAATGCTATTTTGGATTAGAACACGGCAAATTGACTCTACTTGTAAGCATGTCAATAAAATGGCTGTTCCTTTGATTTATTTATTATGTCCTGGTACTTCATTAATTTTTTTTTTTTTTGCTCATATGTACAATTACCTCAAAGACTGTTTTCCTATTTTGAATTAGATCGAGTGGGGATTGTTTACATTTGGGAATCGGTACTGTGCTTTAAGTTGTACACATCTTCTGTCCTATTGGCGTTTTATTGTTTGTTTGTAGCTATTTGTATATATACTTATTATGTAATAAGTTCTTTTCTTATTTTCTCTTAAGTGTTTTATGAAAAAGATTAAAATCCTGTAATAATTGTGTAAATTTTGCTTGTTTTAATTTGGTCTTTTAATACTAAAAATCGTCATTTATCAAACTTCCGTTCTCGATTTGTGATCATCGGTTTATGACATGAAAACATGCCTTTTTCCGAATAGAATGAATAGACTTTCATTGTTGGCTCTTTTCATGCACCATGCATGTTAGTATGAAAACTGAAATTTCAAAGCTAATTGTTAAGATTTTACAAATTTTGATAGTTAGTGAATCTTTGCCAACAAATAAAAATAAATATGCGAAGGAAATTGAAAAAAAAATTTGAATAATCGTTTCACAACATTTGAAATATAAAGAATTTGCTGATTTTATAAAACAAAGAAAGTGTACTGTGAACAACGGGAGATAACTCATTACTTACCGGCATATTGGAACTTTCTTCTTCATTCACTGAATGATTGTACCTGAACACTACATTTGTGTCAATGTTACGCAAGTGACAAAATAAAGAACATGTATAATTGATCCGTTTTCTGATCTTGTTTTAATTGACTTCAAACACCGAAATATAAGATCGATTTGTCTGATATATCATTCAAATTGTGCGTGATAATACTGTATTATAACGAATTTGAATTTGGTTCAAAATTGTATGTAGATATATTGGCAGACATGAGTGAAGGTCAAACTTGCTATTCATGGATATTTTGTAAAGTTGAATGTGTAATTTTAACCCGAAGAACACTAATAACCCTGTCAACAACAAATCGAGTATGTTTCATTCTAACTTTGTGCTGACTATATATAAGATAAATGATATACATATTGAAATAGGCAACAGGAACCAGCAAAAATACTCGACATGACAGCATAAACATCCACTGTACAGATGTACAAACAAAAACAACAACAACGAACAGCACCAGAGGTCCAGACAGCCTAATTTGGCACATCCCCCTTTTTCTAAACATTTTTGAGGTAATTTTTTTATAAGTAAATATTCTTTAATATTTAAACTTATTTTCACTTATTTAATGTGTTCTTGCTCTTATCCATATGATATAACAATAAAGGTAGTTTTTATATGATGTCCCTCTATTCTTATTTTCAAGATCCCCATTCCACAAGCGCCTGTGCCATTACACACTCACAGAAACAAACTCATTGCCAGTAAGAATCACTAGAATAGTTACTAATTATAAAAAGATGATGTGGTATGATTGCTGATGAGACAACTCTCCACAAGAGACCAAATGACTTGGGACAGGCACATACAGAATGTGGTAAGAACATTTGTAACAGTGTTGGTAATAATTTAATATTATGTACTGCGTTTAAATATACCAATGAATGTTTATTTATCTGATTGCATATCAGTATGTGTGTTTGTACTGTTTGGATGGATCTCTATCATCTGTAATGAAATGGCAGATATGCGATCGAGCTCGACTCAAGTGACTCGAACATCGGTCAATCAATTAATCGAACAATGCATGATTGTTCAATAATACCGGTGAACGGATAGACAAATGTGCCGTTTCGCCAATATAAATTTGTCCAATGGGTCATTCTAAATGATTGCCATCACGTGACTCGCCCTTCGTCATCAGCATTTTCGACATTTTGGACCTAACTTGATCTGCATTATATTTAAAGGAATTTTATTAAAGAAATATCCAATAACTCGAGTAACAGACTAACACTGCTAGTACTAACAAGATCATAGGGACAAAACCAACACAAAATTCATTTAAAGAATAAAAATAATTAAAAAGAAACAATTGCTTTTTATTTTGAGGAAATGTTACATAAAGTTTAGTTGTTTCACAATAGGGTTGAGGACACAATCCACCATCGATCAAGACCTCCACTGTTTCAAAATAGCAACAAAACCAAGCAATTATAGGTAACTTTATATGGCAATGCCTGTAAAAATATGATGATTGTAAGTAAATAGTTAGTCAAATTATCTAGTTACAACTTACATTTAAGTTTCATTGAAATTGTTTTACTTGTTCAACAGTCCTTGGACTTAAAAATATCACGAACATGATAACTTTCTGCTCATTTGACAGCCTTTTTCTTTTGCAGTTATTGATATAGCTTTGATATATGATTGTGTTATAATTAGTTGCACGTCTTCGGTCTTTTATTTTTGTTTCTAAGTGACAATTTTGTTTTATGATTTTATAGTTTTCAGCATGCTACTTTTTTCATTTGTTTTTGTTTTTTTTGTTTTTGTTTTTTTTTTTTGTTCCTGTGATATTTCATTATGTATAGAGTCCCTTCAGGTAACATACACATGTACAGTTAATCCAGTTTTTATTTTATTACAATGATTGTAATTAGAAAGTTCGTGATAAGTACAGTTTTCAGTCCGTTTTCAACCTTCATAAGAAATAAAGAGAAGATATTTTGTACATACAGAAAGAAAGAACTGTTCTCAGGTATACAACCACAAAATGAATTAAGGTAAAAACAACAAAGCTGAGAAACAAAAACGATGAAGATGAAGGACAGTGTAGATCACTACTTTTAAAACAATTGTATCCAATGCTACGAGGCTTATTAACAATAACAGTAAAATATGCTATTCTTTGTTTTTTGCTTTATGACAAGTGGTACATATTTCATGCCGGCATGTTTAGTACGAGAAAAATTGAACAATTCACCAAAAAGGTGGGTTCTGCAAAGTATTTCGATCGGGATAGAGGGCGAGTGATCGAATTTGACTGCCTCTTGGTCATGAAAGAGAGCGAATCTATAATAGGAGCAGACATTTTGCCTTGTATACAGGTCACCTATACAGACCCCTCAAAAGTTGTTTCATGGGTTTTTTAACGTGCAGACAGCGCGGGATTCTCTAAACACGGGGAAAAGTCTCCATTCCAACGATCAATTAATAATATCTACTTATCTGCTTGATGTTGATAAAATGTAAGGGTTGTTTAGGGCAGAATCGCATACTGACCACCCGATCTTGCACCAACTTACTTATTAATATACTGACCACCCGATCTTGCACCAACTTACTTATTAATATCTATGTGTGAAGCTTCAAATGAAATTAACTTAAAGTTATATAGCATCTCAAAAACTGTATTATAAAGGAAAAAAATATCCTGATTTTTTTTAACGAAAATATACACTCCTAACTTACTTCTTTATCATAATGATAATTTGTTGTTTAAAATGATGCATTAAATGACAAAACATGTATCGTTAGAGAAAAATCCTTTATAAATGTTTTGATGTAAATATAAACATGATGAAGGAGACATGTTGACAAGTAATAGAATAATTTGGTACAAGACTATATGTCAAAGTTAAATGGTGTAGATTGTGTGTCCGGGAACAATGTGGTGTAGATTAAAATTACGTGTTCGTAAGAGGAGAGGAATGAAAAGTGAACTGTGGAATTTTCCGATTCAGGAAGAGGTTAGTAAATAAGATTTTATAATGCTTTTGATTATAATATACAACTAAACTGTCTTGTTATGCCGCAAATATTCAAAATTTTCTGTTAAATTAAAACCACATATGGATGTCAAGGTGAAACTCCTCTGGTTATTTAGATGGTATCTTTGGGATAAATGAGTGAGAAGACACAGATATAGTTTAAAAATTTATTTGAGATGTTACCTTATTCAATACATGGAATTATCAGATCTGAGACCTGGTGTGACTTCACGTTTGTTTGGGGTCTAGTCAACTGCAGATTGGTCCGACAAAAACATTGAATAAAAGAACGTGAAATAGTATGGTGAAATGATTATAAAAGCATATATTCTAGAGGAATTATTGTTTAGTTTTTTAGTATTTAGCATTTATCAAGCCCGGCGCGAGACGTTTGCCCAAAAAATGTTGCAGACAGCAACCAACGAAATCCATAAAATCACAATCTTATGACATAGGATAGACACATAAATAATGTTTCGGATAAATATGTTTGTGAGGGATCAAACTGGAACAAAACAAGTATATAATTATACAGTATACTTTTCATTTCATTTTTTAAAAGCCTTCTGCTTGTATTAAAAGTGTGCACATCATTTTGACAATATCATATCAATTGATAAAAGTTCAAGTTGATCTTCGTGTTCTTATAAACCTCATTCATTTACTTTGATGACTTTATTTCATCTTTTATTTGGTTGCTTTATAAAATTTATTACAAAGTAATAATAATGTAAATCCAAATTTAAATAAAATAGGTTAGTCGCTTATAATGTCTAATTTTAATCGAGGCTCTCGTCAACTATATACATCCAGTTCAAATTACAACACACATATCTATTAAATCATTCATACATCGAAAAATAGAAGTTTTGTATTTCATTTATAAATATTTATCAGTGACCGCGCATCTATATGCACTGTGTCTCTTTGTATGTACATCATCGTGTGACATCAGTGCTCGGTTAGACCTGGGAACAGTATATCTAACAATACATGCAATATATATGTTCCTGATTAGACCACTGAATTTTTTTTTTTTTTTTTTTTTTTTTTTTTTTTTTATCAAATCACAATATTCAACAATATCAAAATTTTTTTTTTTAAATTTAGAAATTTATGATTTGATGATTACTTTTCAAAAGAGAATACATTATCAATAATGAGATCGGCCAACTTTTGCACCCCCCTTTTTTTCTCAGATAGTTGACCTTATAACCTCTGACGTCAAAACAATAATATACAAAATCAGAATCCGAACAACAATTATAACATAGAATTTGATTGGCCAATATTTTCATTTTATCCAATATAATTCTGTTTTACAAGAGGTCGTATAAATTCTGACAGGTGTGACGAAAAAGGAACTGAAAGGTAACGATAGACAAAGTAAAGAAAATATAATTCAATTTTACGTATTTTTTATCGAAGAAACAAGTGTTAATGCTTATGTATTTCCTTCTTATCTCACTTTGACTGCAGCAGTTTAAGTAAGGGAAACTTATTATGATTTTCATCGTCAAAAATGTCATAAAACACAGGTGATTGATGAACATATTTAAGGAATGTGAACATGTATATGTTATACAATAAAATGTAATATGAAAATGAAAATGTGAATGTTTAATCATATTGATAGAATATTTGGAATTTTGAAACTTAAATAGGCAGTTAAAGCACTGTGTATAGGTTTCATTCAATACTATTGGGCCACAGGCACTTAGTTTCATTAGATGGTAAAGGCCACAAGTGCCTGTGTAATGCGGTAGGTCTTTTCACCACCGAACACCAGTGACCACCGCACACCGCCGAACACCACCGCACACAGCCGAACACATTAAAATACCATAGAACACACCTAAATGTATTGTATTCATCTTTATTTATGTATGTTACTTACCTTCTGAACGAGGATGAATATGTTTATACATATATATATACATAAATTAATAAGAAATAAAAACAAGAGAACCAAAAAGGCTACGCGGGTTATTCAGTGTGCACCACATTTTTGATGTTATTTCTTCATAGACAGAAAAAATATTACAGTCATTCCTTAATGAAATAAAATACATACAGAAAATTACCAAGTGATAATAAGATATTGCTTAAACTGACTTTTTTGAGTTTGATATCAATTTTCACTGAGTAAAATAGTTAAAAATGACTTTGACTAAGTTCAGAATATTTAACTTCTTCACTTCTTATACAATCATTACAATTGGTTATATAAATAGCACATAGCTGGCGACAGACCACAATTAATTCCTCTATTAGTTCTTTATAACGTTTTGTCATATTAAAAAAATTTTACCTGCTTTTTTTGTCAAATCTTTTGTGTGTGTAATGTACAGTACAAGTCCAAAAATATATCCAACTTTCAAAAAAATTGCATGTTTACATCTTACAAATTTAGCCAATACACATCCATACCCCTGAGAGGGTGATGGAGCGGATTGTTACCCGAGAAAATATTGTGAACCCAGGCAAAGCCAAGGTTGACATTGTCTTTTCCAGGGGTAACAATCTGCTCTATCACCCTCTCAACTATGTGTTATTTAATTTATTAGACTGAATATTCTGAAATAACTATCTACTAACATTCAAATTCAAAGTAATAAACTATAATGTCTTGTACATAACAACCACACATATCTAATAAAGTGCACAACTGATTAAGCATCTCTGTGAAGGTTAATAGAGTATTAGCCATGGGATATAGTAGATTATATCCCTCATATTAACCAATCAAAATCTTGCACTTTGACATAAAGTATAATAATTAAATTCAACACATTTTCAGTTGAATATGCTTTGTCTTAGTTGAGATTATTAGGTAAATACATTCTTTAAGGTGATTAAGAAATTGTTGAGCTAATTTTTATTTCACAATTTACCTAGATGTGTATTCTCCTAACAATGTATGTAAATCTGAATGTCAAATGTTCCCGTGTTTAAAAAAGTCCAATTGGAAATTAAGAAAAGGACAACTACATGTACATGTAAATGTACCACATAGAAGCATATTGAATTACATTATGCACCTGTCCTAAGTCAGGAAACTGATGTTCAATGGTTGTCGTTTGTTGATGTGGTTCATAAGTGTTTCTCGTTTTTTATATAGATTAGACCGTTGTTTTTACTGTTTGAATGGTTTTCCACGTCATTTTTGGTGCCCTTTATGGCTTGCTGTTTGGTGTGAGCCAAGGCTCCGTGTTGAAGACCGTACTTTGACCTATAATGGTTTACTTTTACTAATTGTGACTTGGATGGAGAGTTGTCTCATTGGCACTCATACCACATTTTCTTATGTCTATGTATGAAATCATTTGACAAAAGTAAATTTCAAATTAAGCAGGTACATATGTACATGTAATTCCTGTTGACGTTTTTGACAATAAACAGTTAATTATTATAAAAACACCACATGTTATATCAGGAACATATATGCAATGTATAGTACCCATGTATGTCTCTTTATATACATACTCATCACCATGATTGGCTAATAAAAAAAATCTAAATTTCTTAAGATATCATTAGACCCTCTAATCAACAAATACAAAATGATAAGCGGTTTTTTACTAATCATACACTTTTTGCCCCTTTGGACCAATAGATTTTACAAGGTCAAGCAACACATAAAAGGCATTCCAAAAAATTGTTAACAATGTCTCAGCAACTAAGCATTTTTATGAAAACTTTACTGAACTATATTTTGTACATGGTATGATTGAAAGGATTACATGTCTGTCTGGCTGCCTCTGGCAGGGTTCATCTGACCTTGACCTCATAAATACATTGATCATTAATAATGTTAAGTTTGTGTGATAGTAAAGCCTTCCTATTACAAACTTTCAACATAAATTCAATCACAATAAGTAAAGCAGACGAGACATTTCAGTATGTGCACTCATGTTTTATTGATTTTTCTACTGTAACGAGGACTTCATCCTCTAATACAGAACATGAGGTACATTGAATACATTGAATACCACCAGATGCAAAAAAAATATTTGATGCCATAGTGCTAAAGTGATGTCTGTATGATGTGAACAAGTCAAGTGTGTAATCATTTTCTTCCAATTATTGACAAAAATATTCATTTTCTAAAAAAATATTATTTGAATTGGTGATGAATTGCAATGCAGATGAAATTATTATTTTGTTCATCTGATATCATCGCTACATGTATTGGTGCATACTCAGTTTCTATATCATATATGATTGTAAATTACTGGGCCAGTAAGTTTCTATATCATATACAATGTAAATTACTGGCCAGTATATATTATTTCACTGTCTGTAGCTACATATTTACTAATAATTGATGGTACAAATGTATTTCTGTTGAAAGTCAAATGGAGGTTTTGTTTCATTCTCACATTTGTGTTGGTTAGAGTAATGATAAAGTAAACTCATGATCAACTGTCAAATATGAACTATATGAACTCCGTGTTGAAGACCGTACTTTGACCTATAATGAAATTGAGAATGGAAATGGGGAATATGTGAAAGAGACAACAACCTGGCCAAAGAGCAGATATATGTTATAACAACCAAAGGCCACCAATGGGTCTTCAACCAGTGAGAAAATCCCACACCCGGAGGTGGTCCTCAGCTAGCCTTTTATAAATTGTGACTTGGATGAAGAGTTGTCTCATTGGCACTCATACCACATCTTCTTATATCTATATATGATTCAATTTTTCATATCACAGATAGGCAGGTAAAATGTGAATAGGTCAATAATAAATTTAAGTAGCTAAGATCTGGTGTACATAAAACCTTACTTTTTACGATGACAGTGGTTATATTGGTGCTTCTGTTATTTTTGTTGTTGCTTATTTGTGTGTTAAATTTGTTTGACAAGTACAAAAATGTTTTTCTAGCTATCTCATAATTTTGTGTACTATTCCCCTATTAAAACGCAATTAACTCTCAGATGCCCCTTTGGATGCCACTAAATAGTGAACCATTAACTTGTGATTGTCCAGTATATTTATCATGTTTATATCGAAACTACTAAAATAAGGAAATTCAGGTAACCTTGACATATTAAACAAAGGTTTTTGATTTAAATCTTATACATTTTGTTCACATAAGACTTTTTTGTAGTCTGCAAATGTCACCACTCTAGATCCCATTTTATTCTGTGTAAACCTTTTTGTTTCAAAAGATAAATGCAAGCGGATTTTTGTAACAACATTCGGAATATCTTCTCTACAGAGTGTGCTTAGAATTTGTATAACAATGCTTTGGAAATAATTCGTTTTTATCACATTTTCATGACTTTAGTAAAAACAAGGCATTTTTCCTGTATATTTTATCTAATTGAAAAAAAATCATTGGTGAATTGTTCATAAAAATTGGCACAAATAATCTTCATACATAATAAAGCCAAAAGTCATTTTTAAAACGAGGGTTACATGAACTCGTTTTCAAGGTTTTCAAGATAGATCAGTCTGAATGATAAAAATCAGTCGAAAAATGCATCTTTTCCTGATATGTCACAGTTTGACGTCGTGAAAAATAACATTTTACGATAGCAACGTCATTATCTCCACTGTAACTGTATCGTATGCCCTTAATAACTTACTGTCAGCAAATGTGTTGTATAGGAGTCAAACAACATATTTCTAGCTTCTTTCTGATTGTTTTGTTTAAAAATAAAGTTTTATTCTTATTCAAACACTGGACTATATTTTAACCAGATCGATGCCTTCAATCCAATTGAAGGATTAATTGCCAGGTTATTTTAAGTTCAGTTGCTTTTAGACCCTAGGGAGTCAACATTGCATACCTTATCCCTAAATGACTGGAATTAAAATTTATTTCTATGGTCAATGTAGTTTTACATCATTTAATTTTTTATCTGTAAAAAAAATCAGTTGCATTTGCAGTTTGTTTCAGAATTTATTTTGACGAACAGTGATGGATTGTTTCAATTTTTCTGCAAAATGTAACCTCTTTCCATTGTATAAAGCAGTTGGAAGAAAGATTTTGTTTTGGGATTTCCTGTAGAACAATTAAAAGATATTTTTTAAAATTCTCAGAATGAATACACCATAACTTTAAAAATGTTAAAGTACAATGTATATACACTATTGTGTCTGCACTTGCATTGGTTATTATCTAGTGTTTATAATTTCTATTTGACAAATGTATACATGTTTTGTTGTTTGTAAATCAGACTGTGACTGAAATAATTTAACAGATTCCTAACAAAAATCTTTTTACCACAGGATCAATTTAAGTAATGTTATCACTATAGATTAATTTAAGTAATGTTATCACTATAGATCAATTTACTCTTCCTATTTTAATGTGATGCTGAATCACAACACAGATATTTATGTGATAAATTTGAAATAGATACATCAATGAAGGAAGTTTATTTACCAAACACTCACTACAGTTGTCAGTTTATAATCTTTAGTACCTACCTTATCAGGCAATAATACTTAGAAATGATATAAGTAGCTAATATTTAGAAGTTATTGAGGAAGAAGTAGTTTTTATCAAAAATATTTTTTACATTGTTATGAGTAATTATTAAAAGAAATTTAATTGTAACTGACACCATCACAGTTTAAAAGTACGAGGTATGTACATGGTTAGAATTAACGTGATTATGATTTCCTTAAGATACATGTATATGTAATAATAATTATATTTCTGCATGCCAACATGTTTCCATGTACTATTGATAAAAGAAAATTTGGAGAATGAACCTTAAAGGAAAAAGATACTTCAAATTACAAGTGTACATGTATTGATAGAAAATACATGTATCATTTCTTTCTTCTTTTTTTTTATAAAATTTGCTGTTTTGCAAATGTTTTGTTAATTTCATTTGTATAACATTTGTCCTGTTTTTGTCCCATGTGCATGATGTGTGACATGCTGCTGCAGGGGACATAAAAATATTGGGTGTCTATCCAGGCTTGATAAAGCTCAGAGCTCTCATGTGACAATTTTTGTCAGATTTTTATGGAATTTACATCTACATGTAAGGTTAATATCAGCAATCTATCAGACAAGTTACAAAATCAGTGCCATCAACTATTTTTGAAATAGTCCTGTCACTTGGAGTTATTAATCATATTGAACATAGCATGGTTATAGTGCTCTCATATGTACAATTTTTGTCAGATGAAATTTATATCAAAGGTTTATATCATTAATGTCTCAGTCATGTTCGAAAATCAGTGTTGATTGATTATTTTTTTCAAGAGTTTTGTCACTTAGAAATGTAAAATTCTATATGATAATTACATTGTGATCGCTCTCAAGTGTACAATCCTTGTCAGATATTTATGAAATTTATAACAAAGGTAGCATTGTCTCTGACTAATTTCGAAAATCAGTGCTGATCATCTTTTTTTTAAAGATATGACCACTGGAAATATTAATTATATTGAAAATTGCATTGTTAGTGCTTTCAATTCTACATTCCTCTTAGATATTTATAAAAAGTTAAAAAAAAACAAAACAAAAGTTTAGTTATGCCCTTTAAGAGATAAAATATGTGCAACATGGGGGACTTTGAAACTCGGTTTTTATTTAAATATATTTTATTATTAATTTGTAAAAAACATACCAGTTGTTTTGGTGATATTTAGATTCTAGATTTTGTGTTTCTGTAAAATAACAAGATTTTAAAAATTTCCCAATAATTTATTAAGTTCATTGATTTATTCCTTTTCATGTGTGAAAGGATGGAACTCAAAATAATTTAAGGAATCCAAAAGTGAAAGTTAATTGTCAAACTGCAATTAATGACACCCAGAAAAATTGCACAGTATTTGTTTTCATCGTTAGATTTGTTTTCATCGTTAGATTTATACATTTCAGAATAAAAATGAGGCTGCAATAGATGGAAATTGTGGTAAAATGGCCGCCACGGAACCAGATGAAATTACTATAATTGGTAATGTTGTTTTTTCAATCTGAAGTTACACAGTTATTAATATTTGTTAAGAAGGAAAATATATTAGATAAAAAAACATATATATATGTACTTCCATTACATTTTGTTTTAATGCTGCACATAGTTACAGAATTATTGTGACTTAAAAATATATGATAATTCAGAAATTAAATGTTTCATGTATGATGGAAATGGGTTTTTTGGAACATTTTTTATTTACTTTTTTTCTGTTTCTCTGAAATTTTATGGCTGAAACTGAAAGGAACACTAAATTGCAAAGTTCAGTGTCAAGTTAAAAAAACTTGCTATTAATTTTTGCTTTTATATTTTACAGTGGTTGCTGGAAAAGGACTTCAAGGAAAAAAGCAAGGTATTTAATACATTTCAGTTATATTAGATCATAAAAGTTTGAAACTTCAAAAAACATAATAGATAGGAAAAGTTTTATTTTTAAAACTATTGTTTGTCTTAAAAAAAAAGATCAATAATGATAAAAATTACATCTTGAAATATAAGAAAATATCTTTTGATATAACATATAAAACAGTAAGTGTGTTAAAGCTTCATGTACTATATTATTTTCAGGTCGTCATAAGTTTTCTGTAATATTTGGTGTGGGAAACAGAAAGTACAGAACATGTGTTGTAAAAGATGCTGACGGATGTCCAGAATGGAACGAGGAATCAGTCATGTATGTTCACTTCTACAAAACATAAAATCTACCAAATTCTTCTTTTGTCAAACTTTGAAATACCTTAGTTTATGATATTACTGAATAGTATCGTCACATAAAATGTATAAATATAAAACATGATTAACGTACACTTCCGTAATATTGTGTGAAATTCTAAACCAGTTCATGAAAGATATTATCATAATATTCTTTGAAATTTCTTTAGGTTAATACATATTTGATGGCTATGTCATCGTACATGATGTAGGATTTGATCATTACTACATGTTCCTTCAGGGATACATGTATAGATGATTGGATTCCGTTGATACTATCAAGATATACCGGTATCGGGATATATAGGTATCAATGATGGTGTATTGTAACATACCCTCAAGTCTAACATCAAAATATCTTATTTACCTGATTACAGATTCCATCCTATATTAATGCATGTTTTACATCTGATTGTGTGAATTAGATATTTGTATGATATACAATGTCTGGCGTTTCAGGCTTAGTGAATGATTAACACTATTTAGCTTACAAGATTTGTTTTAAGGACCATATTTCAGTGTAAGGATTTATTTGTTTGAGTAAAATACAACATGTTCTTCAGGATAACAACTTGCCTTAAAAGAATACTATGCTTTTGTTGAAATGTTTTTTTATTGTCTTTTATCTGTGTTACTAAATGTATATATAACATTGTACAAAGTTAGACTTGCAATTTGGAAAGGAAAGGAAAGTTATATACGGAACTTATCAAAAACCAAACATCAACATAAACACAGAGACAAAACCCACTATATTATATAACCTTAAAAAAGGATGAGCACCAAAACCCTTTTTTTTGAGAGATAATTAATAAACAATAACCAGAAAAAACAACTTTAAAAACATTGACGGCCTCCTCATATACTTTTTTTATATTCTATTTTCAATTTGTATTCTCTTTTCACCAAGTATAAATGATTTGGATTTTTGATCTCTTTTTTAAATATCTTCCATGTTCCCATAAAAATCCTATTATTGCACCTGAAATTATAGTGACATACAATGTATCATGACATTTTACATGTATGTGTCTGCAAACTATTGACAATATTTGACCATCTGTTTTATTGCAATTTCTAACATTATAGAAATAAGGAGATATGGTATGATATGATTACCAATGAGGCAACTATCGACCAAAGACCAAAGGCCATGGATGATTATAACCAAGATAACTACAGGTCAATGTTCGGTTTATCAAATCCTCTACGGTATAGCAGGATAGAAGAGACCCTGCTGAAGATTCAAATTCAAAATTCCTTTCATCAGTATTTCGCTTAATTATATTTCTCCAAAACAGTCGCCTTTATCTCATTCAGTCTTTGAGATATACCCCTTGTTTGAGATCGAGAAAGTTATCATTATTGTAGGTTCTATAATAACAGAATTTTGTTGAATTGTTTTGATTGGAAGAAAGAATGCATATTGATCAATCAGAAAGCAACTATCATAAGCCTTTAACATCTTACCAGGTATTTCGATTATCAAGGAACAGAAGTTATTGACAGCATAGATTTTTCAACTTGCCCCTTGGCAGAGTCACTGTAGATTTTAATTGCCATACTGAATTTTGTCTTCAATGGGCAAACGATTATTTCAAACACTGTTAAATTCAACATTTTTCTACATTCTTGTAAAAATTTCTACCTATAAAAGTTTGTAAGCAAAAAATTGTGGATAAGAAAATGTTAATTCATTATAAGTGTTATAGGGGATGTCACAAGTGTATGAGTACTCAAGTATGGTGTAGAACATGCATATGTGAAAAACCAATATTCTGTTTGACTTTTGATGAATAAGCAAGTAGTAATCATATGATGGACATACAGTGTTTGTCGTTGGTTCTTGTCTATCATATTTGTTTTTCCGAAATTGTTTTGTTATAAATTAGGCCGTACATTTTCTTGATTGAATTATATTGTTTCACATTTTTATGTTTGGGCCTTTTATAGCTGACTATACAATATGGGTGTTTCTCATTGTTGAAGGCTGTACAGTTGCCTATAATTACTTACATTGACACTTCATTTACACTCTGGTGGATAGTTGTCTCATTGGCAATCATATGACATCTCATTATTATTATATACAATCCATATTTCTTGTATACTGTTTTGCATTTAGCTGTATATATTACTTGTGTGTCTGATTGATTAATTTTCAATATTCAGCATCAAATATTACATACATGTACATATTCAGGAAAATAACATGTTAATGTCATGAATAAAAAGAGAAGTTATATTATGATTATTTTTTGTAGACAAGTCAACAATGTTGCAGACCAAGTATTCCTTATAGTCACAGAAAAAGAAGATATCTTAGGTCAAATCAACATTCCTGTAACAACGTTGTTAGGACCACCAGGAAGAGTGATGAAGAACCCATTACAATCCCACAAAAAATGTCCTAGTCCCAAAGGAGAACTTATTTACCAGTGCTTTGTCTCAAAGTATAGACCTTCATTTTTCCCAAATTCAAGTACACCCAAACACACTAGTATACCAAATGTATATGATAAACATAGGAATGGTATGACATCATCTCCAATTATGAGACACAAACATGAAAAACGAAGGGGTAGTACGGCTTTACAAACATTAAACAAAAAGTTTTCTAAGTCTATACATGACTTGTTTTCATTTGCAAGAAGTCCAACACAAGACAATGATGATAAGAATGTGTCAAATTTAAGTAATGGGCGTTCAAGCAGTATTGGATCAGGTATGAATAATGCTGGTAAACTACCCATAATTCATAGTGTCACCCCGTCAGATGCATTGATCGATGGTGGAACAAGGGTCACAATCGAAGGGAAAAATCTAGGTTTATCAAAGGCTGATATAATGGAATTATTAATCTGTGAGGTGGATCATGCTGACTATGTAGAGTTTGAATCTTCTTCAAGAATATTTTTAAAGATTAAACCTTCCACGGCAGGAATAGGAGATATAATTTTAGAGACTGAGTCAGGAGGGATAGGAACATTGAAAAATGGTTTTACATATGTTGATCCAAATGCTCCCTCTTCACCCTCAGTGACTGGAGATGAAAGTGATACGAGTAGTTCTAACACAAGATTTTCTATAGGGGATGAAGAACTTAGTAATAATGTGATCACACCAGCCTCACCTAAAGTACCAAAATCACCTAAAGTGAAAATGTGTGTAAGTATTTAAACCTAAACTTAACAGGGTGAAATATGGATAAGTACAATAGTATACATGTAACAGACTTTTGTGTCAGGTCTAAATAATGTTTATTCAAAAAAAGATGTCTGTCATTCAGGTTAAATATTTGGGTTCACCTGATCAAGAAGGTCAGAAAATAAAATATATAAAGTATGAAGACCTTTCAACATAGATTTGTTGTATAAATTTAATGTTAAGTTATCAATTATATTGAAGTCTCTAAAATACTTGTATTATATATAGTTTGACAACAGACATATTTTACTTGTGATTACGATGGTGTATAAAATAAACTCTGTTTGAACATCCAGTGGTGAAATATGTTTTAAAGGTAAATGCATTAACTTAAAATACTCTGAATTTACAATTTGTTTGTAAATTGGCGAAGCACATATATACTTCAACATAAGTGTTTAAAACACATGTAAACTTGACCAGTAAACAGCCTGGAAAATAAACATGTGCCAGGTGAGCTGTCTGTGTATGTAGGAAATCTGTATACACATGTGCCAGGTCAGCTGTCTGTGTATGTAGGAAATCTGTATACACATGTGCCAGGTGAGCTGTCTGTGTATGTAGGAAATCTGTATACACATGTGCCAGGTGAGCTGTCTGTGTATGTAGGAAATCTGTATACACATGTGCCAGGTGAGCTGTCTGTGTATGTAGGAAATCTGTATAAACATGTGTCAGGTGAGCTGTCTGTGTATGTAGGAAATCTGTATACACATGTGCCAGGTGAGCTGTCTGTGTATGTAGGAAATCTGTATACACATGTGCCAGGTGAGCTGTCTGTGTATGTAGTAAATCTGTATACACATGTGCCAGGTGAGCTGTCTGTGTATGTAGGAAATCTGTATAAACATGTGTCAGGTGAGCTGTCTGTGTATGTAGGAACCCTGTATACACATTTGTATTGCAGGATACACCCAAAATGTGAATCTTATTACATGTACATGGCAGGTATTTGAATGCTAATTGACTGATTCTCTTCATTTCAAGCTGTTGGCTACATAATGAAACAGTTGATGTTCATTACTCTAGATGTCGGAAAATGTAAAAATTTTACCATTGCCAATTATGTCCAATAATTGCTCAGGACTGTTAAAAAAACATTTCCATGCCCTTGGTTTGAGGCAAGAATATTTGAAGTTGAAAATCATTTAACCCTTAAACAAATTACTTATATTGTCATACAGTTTCTAGTTCCATGGTACTAGGCACACATGTTACAGAAAAGTCTATCATTTCCCTTGATTTATTCGAAGCAATACTTGTGAACAAATCATGTACATTTAAAAGTTTTTTAAAGAATTTTTCACCAGAATTCTTTTTTTAATTTATTTTAAATCACAATTACTGATCTCAAATCTTTAAACTGACTGCATCTATAAAAAGGACAATTCTTCTTCTAGCATCATGAGCAAAACATCTTACTTTTGTTTGTTTTATTAGTCATTCACTGTTATAAATATTTTAGGTCACATTGCCAGATGTTGATAGAAATAACGATTCAGATGGCAAGTCAAAAAAACATTTTCTCAAACATATCAGAAGGGCAAGTGAAGGTCATGTTCTGTTCCAGTCAAAAGGTCCAGGTAGGAAATTTCTTTTAAGAGTTTATTTTATACATTTGAAGCAAAAATTTATAGGGGAACTTTGTAATCTGAACAATTTTTTTTTACAAAAAATATCATCAGGTGAAAATATGTTCATGACTTTTTATAGTATTTGTACAAATTTGAGCCCTTTATATACCATATAAAATAAACTTTTATCTTCAATTTACAGTTATATCAGTGAAATGATACATTTGACCAACTATGGAAACTGCATTAAAGTGTAAAATCAAGTGCTCTGAAAGGGTAAGAAGCGCCTGATAAAAGGGATACAACTCTCTACAATTTGTAGAAGAGGGACGAAAGATACCAGAGTGGGAATAAAGATTAATTACAAAATGTGGACAATTTTGATCCACATCATAACCAGACTTTTGATTTAAAATTCTTATAGTTAATAAATCATTTTTCATATTTTGACAGTACAAGCAGTAGTTCCACAAGTAAATATTGAGTCACTACAAGCAGAAATTGCTCGCTTAAAAAAGGATAATAAACAGATTGATGTACTAAAAGATGAAATTGAATGTAAGGATAAGTATATAAAATGATATCAGCATTACATCACATATTGATTTCATTTTTTAAGCATCTTTGTCAATAAATACCAAGCAAAAACAATGGTAGATTTCTGAAAGCACCTGTTTCTGGAGTCATCTTCATTGGGTGCAAAGAAACGAAAAAGTTACAAAAGGCAAAATATAAATGTTAGTGGCCTATTAAAACAGAGGAGCCAAAACTGTCTGAGGTCAGTTTTGACTGAAGGAGTTGCTCCTTAACACTATTATATAATTTTTTTATGTTTTGATAATAAACTTTTTTTAGAAGTAAAAAAATGTATGTATTTCTTCTAAAAGTTACAAATTTATGGAGAAGTGCAAAACTCAAATACTTTTTAACATATCAAAACTGTCTTTTTTGTAAAATGATTTATAGAAGTAAAATTAGTTTATATCTGTGACATTTACTTGAGCAGATTGTAATTGAACTATCAGAATTTCCACTCCAGCTGTTAAAAATATTTTTTATTTTACAATCAAGCTTACTTCTTTATGTCATTATGTCAAACTAAGTGATGTATAGGTAACATATGTGAAAAATAATAAAAATGTCACATGAATAGAATATATGAATCAATATATTATAAATTCTCTATCTGATTTAACTTTGATATTATTGTTTACATTAAGAAATACATTTTCATTGGTTTTAGCATATAAGAATACTAAATGTTGTTGAAATTATAATTGAAGTGTTATAATTGGTTATGCAAATTACACTCATAAATGAACTTTTGATTACCTCGTATTCTATATACCAGCTATTTAGTGTAAATTTTTCTGAAGTGTAAATTGTATTATCTATGCATATATTTTTTTAGTGGTTTGACTTTTAAATGTTTTTCTTGATTTAAAAATAAATGTATGTTACAGAAAGGGCATGCTGGTAATTAAAACTGGTATGTTTATAGCAAAAAGTGACAACTCATAAGATGAATAAACGACTTAGAAATTGTGGAAAATACCCAACACATAAATAACTTGATTTAAACTAAAGTACTTTATTTTTTTTCTATTTTTAGCATTAAAAAATGACAAGAAAGATATGAAGGTCTACATTGACAAACTTGTTGCTAAAGTCATTACACATTGTCCGGAAGCTTTGGCTACTGATGATGATATGGAATTCAAATCTAAGTTTGGATAGTGAAATCTAAGCGAAGAAAAAATGGCCTGTGAATCCAGCATTTGTCTGATCAGGGATTTATCTGGAATTTCAATTTACAGTCATGAAAATCCAGTTCAGGAAATCTCATTAGGGAATGATGGTGGACATATTGTCTAATACAAAGGATATATGAAGTGGACTTTTTTTGCACAAAACCATGTTTTTTACACAAATAATTCAACCTGTTATCTATTTTATTATTAAATAATGTGAAATACATCATCATTTAAAATATCTTCAGTTGTTCCTGAATTCCTTTTTTTTCTTTTTTTCAAAGAATTCTTCAATAGACAGGATATATTAGAAAGGTTAGTCAATGTAATTGCTTAACTTCTTGCAAGGCAATTTTTAAATAAGAGATACTAATATGTAATATTAGGGATCATGTTACAAAAATAAGGCTGCATAAGTGATACTATTTAAAGTTTAGTAGGGGGAATATCAAATGATTGTATGTGTGCAAGAATGAAGAAATTAAATGCATATATCTTAAAACCATATTTGTTACCTTGTTTACTGTGATATTGTTATTATTATATTACATTGTGGTTAAATTTTGCAACATAGTAATTGCAGCCTAAACAAATTTGTTATTATTTTAAATTGTCTTTCACAAAAATGCTGTGCGGCATAAACGGACAATGGCATATGAGTGTTGAATACTGTCAATCAACTAATTGTTTCCTAAGACATATAAATTATTATACATTGTCTCTAAATATCAAATTTATTTGTATAGGAATTAGAAACAGATAGAATGCGATGCTATGCCTAGTATTTGTATCCTGTTTCTGAGATGAGTATAAATAATATTTATGTTTTGAGACAATTGTTTTTTTTTTCTGTTTATAATGCAACTTTTAAAACTGTTTAGAATAAAATATTTTGTGTAGAAATGAAGAATTTTGAATTTGAAAAGGAGGACATAGAAATTTCCTAGATTTTTTTCTTTTTTTTTCCGAAATACTTGTTCATCGTTCATTGTAAGGATGAAATTTCACTGTTTTCATTGTGTTTTGTCATGATGTAAGCCTTTCTTAGAGATTGAAATAGTTTAGGAAAATGTTTATAATATTGATTTAATCTCAGCGATTATTGCCATGTGATTGTCAAGTAGTGGTCATGTAATCTTATTGCCTTTTTTGGTAAGCAAATTTCTTATTGAGTAGCTTTTAACAAAACAGTATGAAAGAAATATGATCAGACATTATTTAAAAGAATTTAAAAATTTCTCGTCCCAAAGCCAGTTTTAATATTCTGAGTACATGTTTCAAATTTCAAATATTAAAATACAGACAGAAAAAAAAGCTAATGTCTTGATGATATTATATGCAAAAACCATCTGTAATCTCACCTTTGAAATTATGTGGATAAAGTCTTGGAAAGTTATAATTATTTTGTGCTCTAAGAGTGTCACGAAATAGAAGTTCCTTCATAATATAAGTTCCAAGTGGAAGAAATATTCTGTATTATTATTTCCATTGGAACAAATATTACAGTATGTGTTCCTTACGGAATAAAGGGTATAGAATATTTGTTCCAACAGGAACATATATTATGACTTTGTTTATAACAAAATTTCCAGTGGAACTTCTGTTAGGTGGAACAAATATACGTTGACAAGAGAAGTAACTTCTTAACTGCAATAATTGTTGTTTGCCTAACAATGGAAAAAGGTAGAAGTGGCAATTTATAAAGATCTGATAGAACATTTAAATGAAAATTCATTTTGTAACACAACATTTTTTAAATACGTATGATTATATAATTACACCATTTTCCTTTAAGCAGATACTGGGTCCATTATCTGAACCCACAATTACAGAATGTTGTCAAGTAAGATATTTGTATTCAGCAAAAAAATTATAAGAAATTCCCTGATGATTGCAGTGTGTGTGCCTTTGTTTAAATATGATTATGCATAAATTATTTTTCTATGGTTTTGTAAGAATCATGAATCAACAGAACATTTGCAAAAAAAATTGTTAAAAGTGTGGTTTTTTTTTCACATACATATTGTATATTGATTTTCCTCAATTAATGGGAAAGCAGATCTGTATATGTTTTTGAATAATCATTTTATATTTTATAGAAAACAAATTAACATCAAGCTTTTTGCAAAATTTATTTAGTTTGGATAAACAGAGAACTTGGAACAAAAAAGATGGATTGTTTATGCACCTATGAATTTGCTCATTATTTGGACCAACATTGTAAATGATTTTTGTTAGGCCTAATATTTTTTACATTGATTGATTGTTTTAGTATGTATTATATGGAACTATCATTGTGCTTGCTATTATGCTAATATTTTGTGCTTATATTTTATTGCTATTACGATGCATTTCATGTATGTGGTTTATTGTTGCCATTTTATGCAAATTATATATTTGTACATAAATCGTACAATAATAATACATATCATATATTTTTGCTTTTACATGTTTTATCTGTTTGTTATCAAATTGTTATTTGCATCAAGAAACAAGATCTGAAAAACTGTATTTCTGAAAACTTTTATTCGTTAATTATAGATCTGAAATTTTAGATAAAATTAAACCAGGTTGTTTCTAAAGTTCTGAAGTGTACAGTTCTTTTATTTTTTTATATAAAACAATTTTTTTCCAACAAATTATATGAAGTCATTTTCAGTTGGGTTTTGTAAAGCTATGTGTTTATCTGGACAGGAGTTCAGTCTAAATATACCGGTAAGTGTTGACAACAAAATAAATGGACAGTGTTAAGATTATTTATGACAGAAAAGGTCTGGATTTTTTGTGAATTGAATATAAATGCTTGCTTCATTCCCCAAATGTTTTGGACACAGTTAAAAAAAACTGTTACTTTCAAGGTGAAAACTTTGGATAAATTGGATGAGAAATGATCTCAATATATATGTTTTTTTTAAATTATCATTTTATAATTTACATATGATATGCAGTAATATGTGATTCTGTTCACTATTTCCACAATACTGTTTGTGACTACACTGTGTTGGTGAATGTGTTTACTTTCTTCCACATTGTTATTACTTTCCATTTTTTGATTTTTTAGATTGATGCTTAACAATATTACTTTCCATTTTTTGATTTTTTAGATTGATGCTTAACAATGTTATATTTGGGACCAATTAATAAGATGTGATTTTTAGCTTGATTGCATTGTCAGTGTTCACAATTCTGGTTATGCATTGTAATCAAATTGAAGTAAAAAAGTTTTTAACCAATCAAAGTTAAACCAAATGTGAGTTGTTCATTAGACTTGTTTTCAGCTATGGTATTTTTTTTATCTAAAAAATTCTTGAAGTGCTCAACAGAAGCTTTTCGGAGGAATTATTTTATGAAGGCTGATTTTTTTCCCTCACTTTTTTGTGTTCAGTTATACCAGTGTTTTGTGTTCATTCATACATATGATATGTCCTTGTATAATTTGCTTCTACAGAAATTACTAGGCTCATTTGAATAACTTATATAATGATCAGATTAATAACTATTTATTTATTTAATTTGATATCAACACCATTTTCTTAGAAACATAGACATGAAAGAAAATATACTGTGACATTTTCATAAAATCTAACATCTTTTGATAATTTATCTTGTATATTGGGGTTTTTTCTCACCTGCGACGAAAGGTTCCGAAAGAGAGACATAGGGATTGCTTTTCCAGCGACGGCTCCAGTGTCAACAATTGTTAAGTTTTCTGTTTAAGTTAGTTTGATAGGAACAACTTGTGATAGATCATTGATATTTAATATAAAGTTACATTACTATCAGTTCAAATTAGTTTGATGACATTTTTGAGGCCCTGCCCCTAGGACATGGTCCAGTGACTTTGAATTAATTAGCAATTTTCAATGTTAAATTTTCTGCTTAAGTTAGTTTGATAGGATCTACTTGTGATAGATCAATGATATTTTGTATAAAGTTGCATTACTATCAGTACATATCAGTTTGACAACTATTTTGAGGCCCTGCCCCCTAGGACATGGTCCAGTGACTGAATGAATTTGCAATTTTCAATGTTAAGTTTTTCTGCCTAAGTTATATTGATAGGAACTTCTTACAATAAACAACGATATTTTCTATAAAGTTACATTACTGTCTGAACATTTTAGTTTGTAGACCATTTTCAGGCCCTGCCCACTTGATCATGGTGCAGTGAGCAATGTTGCTGTCCATCAGATTGTTCTTTTTTTTAATTGTATGCCAATAGGTGAGACATATCTCGGTGTCAACAGTTAATTTTCAATTATGATTTGTTCACAAACACCACAGTAAATTATTTTCTATCAGTTGCAAACCTCACAGGTTGAAGTTGATGTTCAAAACTTGAGTAAAAAAAAAAAATTAACTAAAATTTTAATCTTGAAAACTACTTAAGTTAACAGGTGAAATTATATATAATTTACCTATATGGTATATACACTCATCTGTTCTGACACCTGCTTAATATACAAATATTATTAGATTATTATACGATTTCATTTAGTCTTGGATACTGTGCTTTAAGAAAAACATCTCATGTTAACTTTTGTCTTTTTCCTTATTGTGTAAATGGACAATAGTGTAGTGTCTTATACCTTTTTGTGAAAATGGACAACAAATGTGTTGGTCAGCATAAATACATGAGTGTGAAAATGTTGAGTTGTTATGAAGGTTTATAAGTAAGTTGTTTATTATCAGTATCGTATTTATTTTAATTATAGTATATTTAACATGATAATCTTATTTAGCATCTAATGATAATGGTGCTGTATGTACACAGTATTTATATTTCATGTCAGATCTTTTGATCAGGCTGTTTGTGTTTTTTTCTTAATTATAGATGAGTGTTCTAGGTAGGAGAAAAAATACAGTATGTTCATTTAAGTAGGGAATATTTGATTGAAATATACAGAATAACCTCTGGAAAATTCTTGGTAACAGAGACCAATTAAGTTCTTTAAGACCAGGTGTAATGGACGCATAATCCTAAAAAAACATATTGCCCCCCTATTAATATAGAGGGACATAAAATAATTAATTCCACATTACTGGATAACGGGGCAGAAAGAACATTATTTTTACAGATGACATGAATACTTTAAAAAAAATACTTCCAAAAGCATTGTAAATTCAACTTAATATGTCTCAATCCGGATTGAAATGTTATCAACAAATGTGACTTTTCCAATTTTTTTTTTTTTTAAATGAACTGGCTGTTGCCCTAGATACACAAAAGGATAAATTTATTTGATTCCAATCTGAAACCACTGGAACAATCGCTATTAACATCATGATAGTCATCCTCATTGTTTCTGGTAAATGATAGGTGAAAAAACTATTTAATTTGTCCCTATTAAAAATAGCTAAATGTTCTAGAAAGGTTTAAATTTATTTGAAAGGGTTTAAAACTAGGAGAGCCAACTTATATTTATTTACTAACAAGATTTCTTTCATTCTAACTGGAAAATTTAGTAGTGGTCAATAAATTGGATTTGAGAGTGCCATATATGGATGCTTTTAGTTAGTCAGAATCTAATGGTGATAGAACACTTTCTTGGTCCATGATGTGAAAGTCTGGCATTGCAGTCCCTCACTTGTTACCATTGATTCATGGAGATTTTCCAGTATGCAAAAAATTACTACATAATTTTGCTGTTTAGAGTTAAGGCTACCTATGATCATCACCAAAATAATACTTTATCTGAAAGGAAGATTTAAATTCTTTATTTATTCAGACATTGATTATGATGGAATGAGGAGCACAAAGATTTCATTGTTATTTTTGCACACAGATTGTGATTTAAATTTTGAATATGTTAATTTTGTAAAACACATTATTTGCGTTGAGGGTAATGAGATGAAGTTAAAGCTATTGTTTGTTCTATCTTTGTTGATATACCTCATATAAAGTAAATAAACAAATAAACAAATATCAAGTATTTTATTTTTCAATCTCATATTGTCAGTTTTCAGGCGGAAGGTGGTTGTCTCCGGCTTCTTCCACTAATAAAAATTGACCGCCACAATAAAGCCAATAGTGTTGAAAGTGGTGTTAAACACCTATAATCAATCATATTGTCAGATGAAATGCAAGCCTGTTACAATTTCTACCAGTAGTATATTTGTAACTAGTGAGTATGAATAGCATTGTTTACTTATAACATCAAATTAAATTAAATCTATTAGTTTTCATTTTCACTTTTTAAAGAAAAACGCACAAATCTCTAAGTATAATGTGTGGGTTTGGGTTGATTTTAATGTATAAAGAACATTGAAATGTCCCTAGTGTGTTTTCTGCTTCTGTTTTCCTTAATTGCTGTACCCTAATTTATGACGTTTTTACCTATTATGTCTGTTTGTTTTGCTCACACATTGTTTTCAATATAATGGAATTCTATGCGACTGTCATACAAGTGAGAGGTTTCGCTAGCTATAAAACCAGGATTTAACCACCATTTCTACCTATGGAATTGCCTGTACCAAGTCAGGAATTTGATAGTTGTTTTCCATTCGTTAGATGTGTTTGAGCTTTTGATTTTGCATTTTATAAAGGACTTTCCGTTTTGAAAATCACTTTGAGTTCGTCATTTTTGATATTTTACTTTTTTCTCTAATAAGTGAAATGTTGTCCAATACTTTAAATTTAATTTGATGTTATAATTATAAAAATAAGAAGATGTGATATGATTGCCAATGATACAACTCTCCACAAGAGACCAAATGACACAGAAATTAACAATTATAGGTCACAATACAGCATTCAACAATGAGTAAAAATCAGAAAAGAATATACAAATAAATTTAGTTCCATTTTCAGAGGAAATGTAAGAACTAATGTGGCTGCCATCTTTAATGATGGACAGACTGCCTATAAGATAAGGGGTAGAATGCCAACAGAATAAAATCAATTGTCAATTTCTTTAGTTTGATATTCAATAATTTTCATATTAAGTATATTTTGAGATTATGACGTATAGTCGATCATTTACCCTGTTGTTATGATTATTTTGATTTTAGAGTTATGATCCTGTAATACATTATTATATTATACCCCCACTTTAAACAGTTGGGGCTATATTGCATTCATTTTGTCTGTCAGCTTGTCCAACAATTATTTCTGTCACACATTGCTCAGGTCTGATAGAAACTTCTTGTTTGCGGTGGATGTTGAGCAGCCATGCATTATCCTGTTTGGGGTACTTTGAATTTTAAAATATGTTGAATAAACTTCAAATTTTTCGTCACACATCTCTCCAGTACTGCTAGTCAGAAAACTTCATATTTCATCAGCAGCTTGACAGTGAAAGAGATGAAACTTGTTAGGTCTTTTCTGATATGTCTGACACCTATTCCTTTTTGTCGATACTTTGAATATTTCAACATGTTGAATGAACTTTCACACTTTTCTCAAAAAGCATTGGTACAGAATAACTTTATATATAATCAGCAGCTTAGCAGTGATTAGTTGTAACTGTGTAAGTGCTTTTCAAATACTTTGAATTACGAGTGGGGCATGCTAAGCACGACAACACATGCAACTTCTTTTTTTTAGGCCCCTGCCATAGGCAACTTTAAGTGTTATCCTTGACCGTCTGTCCCATTTTTATTTCAGCCCTCTTACTTAAGTTTTACTCATCTAAATTTTATGAAACTTATACACAATGCTAAGAACCAAAACTCGCAGACAGAGTTCAAATTTGTGCAGTGAGTCACTTACTGTTCTAGAGTTATTCCCCTTTTTAACTTGGAAATTTGCAAAATTTGTTCATTTCAGAACTCTTACTCAAGTTTTCGTCATTCAAATTTCATGAAACTCGGTGACACTTACAACACTTAGACAGAGTTTGAATTTGAGCACTGAGCCACTTACCTTTCTAGAGTTATGCCACTTATTATTTGGGAAAATTGCAAAGCTCAAGCTGGGGCATTCCTGTCCTCATACATTCTTCTTTTATTTTTATGCCCCTGCTGTAGCAGTGGGGCATTAAGTTTTACCCTTGTCCGTCTGTACGTACGTCCCAAAATTGGTTTCTGTTCTCTGACTTGAGTTTGCCTCAACCAAATGTTATGAAACTTATACACAATGCTTATTACCACAAAACACAGATCAATTTTGAATTTTTGTGTCGTCACTTTAACCGTTCTAGATATATGCCCCTTTATAAATGGAAAAAATTGCAAATTTTTTAGTTTCTGTTCTCTAACTTAAGTTTGCCTCAACCAAATGTTATGAAACTTATACACAATGCTTATTACCACAAAACACAGATCAATTTTGAATTTTTGTGTCGTCACCTTAACCGTTCTACATATATGCCCCTTTATAAATGGAAAAAATTGCAAATTTTTTAGTTTCTGTTCTCTAACTTAAGTTTGCCTCAACCAAATGTTATGAAACTTATACACAATGCTTTAAACCTAAACTTAACAGAGTGAAATATGGATAAATACAATAGTATACATGTAACAGACTTTTGTGTCAGGTCTAAATAATGTTTATTTAAAAAAAGATGTCTGTCATTCAGGTTAAATATTTGGGTTCACCAGATCAAGAAGGTCAGAAAATAAAATATATACAGTATGAAATACAAAAATATTTTCATCATAAGACCTTTCAACATAGAAACAGACATATTTTACTTGTGATTACGATGGTGTATAAAATAAACTCTGTTTGAACATCCAGTGGTGAAATATGTTTTAAAGGTAAATGCATTAACTTAAAATACTCTGAATTTACAATTTGTTTGTAAATTGGCAAAGCACATATATACTCCAACACAAGTGTTTAAAACACATGTAAACTTGACCAGTAAACAGCCTGGAAAATAAACATGTGCCAGGTGAGCTGTCTGTGTATGTAGGAAATATGTATACACATGTGCCAGGTGAGCTGTTATACCTCATATAAAGTAAATAAACAAATAAACAAATATCAAGTATTTTATTTTCCAATCTCATATTGTCAGTTTTCAGGCGGAAGGTTGGTGGTTGTCTCTGGCTTCTTCCACCAATAAAAATTGACCGCCACAATAAAGCCAATAGTGTTGAAAGTGGTGTTAAACACTAACAATCAATCATATTGTCAGATGAAATGCAAGCCTGTTACAATTTCTACCAGTAGTATATTTGTAACTAGTGAGTATGAATAGCATTGTTTACTTATAACATCAAATTAAATTAAATCTATTAGTTTTCATTTTCACTTTTTAAAGAAAAACGCACAAATCTCTAAGTATAATGTGTGGGTTTGGGTTGATTTTAATGTATAAAGAACATTGAAATGTCCCTAGTGTGTTTTCTGCTTCTGTTTTCCTTAATTGCTGTACCCTAATTTATGACGTTTTTACCTATTATGTCTGTTTGTTTTGCTCACACATTGTTTTCAATATAATGGAATTCTATGCGACTGTCATACAAGTGAGAGGTTTAGCTAGCTATAAAACCAGGATTTAACCACCATTTCTACATATGGAATTGCCTGTACCAAGTCAGGAATTTGATAGTTGTTTTCCATTCGTTAGATGTGTTTGAGCTTTTGATTTTGCATTTTATAAAGGACTTTCCGTTTTGAAAATCACTTTGAGTTCGTTATTTTTGATATTTTACTTTTTTCTCTAATAAGTGAAATGTTGTCCAATACTTTAAATTTAATTTGATGTTATAATTATAAAAATAAGAAGATGTGATATGATTGCCAATGATACAACTCTCCACAAGAGACCAAATGACACAGAAATTAACAATTATAGGTCACAATACGGCATTCAACAATGAGTAAAAATCAGAAAAGAATATACAAATAAATTTAGTTCCATTTTCAGAGGAAATGTAAGAACTAATGTGGCTGCCATCTTTAATGATGGACAGACTGCCTATAAGATAAGGGGTAGAATGCCAACAGAATAAAATCAATTGTCAATTTCTTTAGTTTGATATTCAATAATTTTCATATTAAGTATATTTTGAGATTATGACGTATAGTCGATCATTTACCCTGTTGTTATGATTATTTTGATTTTAGAGTTATGATCCTGTAATACATTATTATATTATACCCCCACTTTAAACTGTTGGGGCTATATTGCATTCATTTTGTCTGTCAGCTTGTCCAACAATTATTTCTGTCACACATTGCTCAGGTCTGATAGAAACTTCTTGTTTGCGGTGGATGTTGAGCAGCCATCCATTATCCTGTTTGGGGTACTTTGAATTTTAAAATATGTTGAATAAACTTCAAATTTTTCGTCACACATCTCTCCAGTACTGCTAGTCAGAAAACTTCATATTTCATCAGCAGCTTGACAGTGAAAGAGATGAAACTTGTTAGGTCTTTTCTGATATGTCTGACACCTATTCCTTTTTGTCGATACTTTGAATATTTCAACATGTTGAATGAACTTTCACACTTTTCTCAAAAAGCATTGGTACAGAATAACTTTATATATAATCAGCAGCTTAGCAGTGATTAGTTGTAATTGTGTAAGTGCTTTTCAAATACTTTGAATTACGAGTGGGGCATGCTAAGCACGACAACACATGCAACTTCTTTTTTTTAGGCCCCTGCCATAGGCAACTTTAAGTGTTATCCTTGACCGTCTGTCCCATTTTTATTTCAGCCCTCTTACTTAAGTTTTACTCATCTAAATTTTATGAAACTTATACACAATGCTAAGAACCAAAACTCGCAGACAGAGTTCAAATTTGTGCAGTGAGTCACTTACTGTTCTAGAGTTATTCCCCTTTTTAACTTGGAAATTTGCAAAATTTGTTCATTTCAGAACTCTTACTCAAGTTTTCGTCATTCAAATTTCATGAAACTCGGTGACACTTACAACACTTAGACAGAGTTTGAATTTGAGCACTGAGCCACTTACCTTTCTAGAGTTATGCCACTTATTATTTGGGAAAATTGCAAAGCTCAAGCTGGGG